AAGAAAGAAAGAAAGAAAGAAAGAAAGAAAGAAAGAAAGAAAGAAAGAAAGAAAGAAAAAAAGAGAAAGGAAAAAAAAGTATGATAAATTCTGCCAGACCACAGGATGTAATATCAACATATACATAACATTTGTGTTTCTCATATTCAACATATTCATCTTTCAACTGGAAGATGAAATGAATGAAAACTAATTTCATTTATAATAGTTTCCAAAATATCAGATGCCTCTAAAAATAATGGGCAATCCCTCTACTCTGAAAGTAGTAGATAAACTAGAGAGGACCAACATAAATGGAAGGATAGGTCTCGTTCATGAACTGAGAGACTAAATATTATTAAAATGTCAATTCTCCCCTAACTGACCTATAAAGCCAACTATATCCCAACAAAACCAAATTGACAACTGGAATCTAAAATTTATAAAGAAATGCAAAGAAAAAAGGAGCCCGAAAAACCTCTTAAAGAAGAAGTTAGAGGACCTACCCTACCTGATGTTAAGATTTGTTATAAGGTGGTAATAACAAAGATAGCAGTGTGGTACTGACTTAAAGATAGACATATGGATGAATAGAACACAATGGTCAATAGAGATTTGACCAAGGTGGCAAGGTGACTTAATGGGAAAGGATAATTTGTTGTAACCAATGGTGCTGAGACAGCTGAAGATCCATCTGGACAAAAATGAACCCCGACCTTAGTCTCCCATCACAAATAACAATCAATCAATTCAGATTATAGACCTAAATGAAAACGTTACAATCATAAAACTTCCGGAAGAAAGCACCCGAGAAAATCTTTGTTTTTGCACAGGCCAAGATTTCAACCTATTCAAGATTTCAACATATAACCATGAAGGGAAAATCATAAATGGACCTCATCAAAATTAAGAATGTTCTGCTCTTTGAAAGATTTCACTGAGAAAATGGAAGCACAACTCAGGTCCTGGGAGGAGTTATTTCCAATATCTGACACAGTCTCCATATCCAGAAAATCTACATATATGTACAAATATTTACAATGACATATAGTTACAATTCAATAAAAAGACAAAACAACCCAATTTTTGAAAATGGATATAGATTTGAAAAAACACTTATCCCAATGGCCCATAAGTGCAAGAAAAAATTTCAACACTATTACTCTGAGGAAAATGAGAATTAAAACTATTAAGAAGATCCTATTTTGTACCTATCAGAATGGTTAAAATCAGAAAGATTCACTACCAATTCTTGGCCAGGATGTGGGAGAAACCATCCACACAGGATTACTACTGTGAGGAGTAAGTAATTGCCTAAGGTCTTAGAAACATTTGCTGTACCTGATAAGCACTGTAAAATCATTAGCTATTATTACTATTTATGGTCTGGACATCTTTGCACAGCTATTACACTGAAAATAGTAGTCATCAGAGCATATTTAGGATGCATTTTTAAAAACTTTCTACCAAAAAATATAGCCACTATAAGGAAACGCACAGTTTATTTCATTTCTGCCAATTTTAAAATATGGATATTCACACCAACTCAGACTTCAGGCAAAGCTTTAAGGAACTAATCATTTTAAACCATATTCTGAAAAGGTATTATTTAAGGGGAATGTGTTCTTTATAAAACCTCTGAAAATCTATTTCTTCAACACATATTTCTTGAGTGCTTACTCTAATGTGCTCACCTTAAAGCAAAATGTTGCACTAATTAATGAATAGTGTCTATAGGTATGAGTAAAAATAATGAACGTTCCGAAGACAGTAGCTATGGGTTTACTCCCACAAACTAAACAAGGAGAGCTGAAGGAAAGCCTGTGGGATGGAAACAGGGGCAATCTCAGGGTTAATTAACCTCAGACTCTCTGGGAAGGTAAACCCATTTCTTCCCCTTGCAGAATCACTGTGGTCCTAAGACATTCTACTGAGAGATGAGCCTAATCCTTCGTGTCCTCAGGAAAAAAAAATGCTCCAACTACTGGCCTAAATTACAAACTAAATTACATCCTGAAGGACTCCATCTCGTACGTTCCCCCCCTTTCAGTCAATTATTTGGCTTTAAAGAACTACTACACAATTTTGCAACCCAAGAGGAAGAAAGGAAAACCCAAATACCATGATCTTGATCTGGCGCCTCCAGATGGTAGCCATATCCCAGCAGCGTGCGCACGGCCTCACGGAGGCTGTCCTTGTTGGACTTCTTGGTGCGGTCATCTAGAAGGGTGTAGGGAACTAGGCGAGGGTTTCTTCTGTTCTTTACATCCTACGGGAAGAGAAAAGGTGTTGGTCATCGAAGCAGTGCTGAAGCAATCATTTTGGAAATGAGACAGCCACCAGATACAACAGAAAAGTAAAGTCCCTGAGTTAAAAGCTGCCTCTCCCCCACCTTCTTTGTCTTCTCAGGTAAGTTACTGAACCACTATCAATACAAAAGATTCAATCCAATGAATAACTGCATCCATTCAAAGCAGTAACAGAAAGTAAAAACAGCAGTAACAAAAGCCAACTGGAAGGATCTCTGTAACCATCTTTCATCTGCTGGGGTCACAGGGCAATGGGCTAATTTGGAGCACACAGCATTTCCTTGCACAGTTGACTGATAAGTCTTTGTTCCCAGAAGAGTCAAATGATCACTGGTCACCTGTCAGTGACATCGGTCTACAAACAACATAAGGCTGTGGTCCCTTTCTCAGAAAAATTCAGTGTGATATAGGCAGCCATTCTATGAACTCAACTAGCTTGAAAAATATGCACTCAAGTGACTCCATTAACCTGTGAGACCAGTTAGTAACAGAAATACTGAAAGAACTACAAAACCCACAATTTGGGCTGTTACAAAAGAGGCTCCAAGTTGAAAAATGTGATGAAACCAGTATCAGCAAAGCCAGAAAGTGGGCTATCCTACCATCCTGGCAAAGAAATTACTCCCTTCCATCCACTCACTGAGATTCCGCTGCAGTTTTTGTCAGACTCTCCATATTTCGGGCAGCATACTCAACTCTCACTATAACCCCAGCACGATGAAGAATTAGGAGGCTGTGGTTCCTCCCAAACCTTCTCGAGAAAAATGAGTTCTGTGGTGGGTCTGTTCTGGGTGGGTAGGAGCAAGGAAAGCCTTTCCTACTTTCTTCTCCCCTCGCTCTAGCAAATTCGTACCAATACCTGCTCCATTAGGGTCAAGAGCACCTAGGTTGCTTGGTGGGGGGCACCACTCCAAAGCCACCCCCAAATAAACCAGCAGTGTAAACAGAGCGCCTACACTGCCAGCCCAGCTGTGAGATGAACCACCCAGCACCCCTGTTTTTCAACATGGTTTTTGTCCCCAAACTTTCTACAGAAATTCTGAAGCCTTCAATGAATCATCCTCTCTAGAGATGTCCTGTGATTCTGAGTGTTCACAGGACCTCCCCAGGGGATTCCACACACACTCAGGTTTGAGACCAGCTGTGCTAGAGTCAGACAGAGAAGAGGTAATTCAATGAAGCTGTTTTCAAGGACTTTCAGTATAGGTCTGAACTAGATTACGCTAACAAGAAGGTGATGGAAAATTCAAGACAATGCTTGTTCAAATAATCCAGCAAACATGAGTTATGTCAGTGGGGAATTCGGTGGAGGGAAGGGGTGGGAGCTGGGAGAGGGAATGGGGAAAGGATTTCAATGAGAGCTCTGGCCAGCTCAAACAGAGCCTTAGGCTTGTAGGAGGAAATGCATGAACAGGAAAGAACATCCCTCGAGGAAGAGACGGACATCAGGGAAATCCTGGTTTGTCTGACACCGCCATGTGGCCTTCAAGGCAAGGAAGCCCTCCTTTTGCAGAGAGCCAGTGTGGACCCCTTAGCCCTCTGGGGTGTAAGAATCAGGTTCTCTCTGTCTCTCTGTCTCTCTGTCTCTCTCTCACACACACACACAATGCTTAAGCAGATTTAGTGCCGACATTCTCCTCTGTTATAGCCGGCTTAATTCAATATAAACATATATTTTATGAGGCCACTCAAGGCTATTCAAGTTTTCTTTAGCCTTCCCAATGGCAAAAAGTCACCAGCTTAGAAGGATTTGGGAAATTCATTTTTTCAAGTCAACACTGAGGCTGTATATCAAACCACAGTCTAAGCCTATAAGTAAGAATCCATTTTATTCCCGAAAAATTTTTAAGTCACGGCAGCCCCAAAACGAGCTGGCTGGAGGCAACAAGGAACAAGGAAGTGAAGAATTTTTGGCTCTGGAGTCAGAAGCCTTGATCCCAACCTGTGTCTGCCACCTGCTAGCTGTGCAGCACTGAGCGCAGTGCTCTCAATAAGGCCCCCTGTACACACATGAACCGGGAATAAAAACCATTCTCCCTGACGTAACTGTTGTTGCGAGTTAAAAAGAATACATGTAAACGTCTGGGTGTGGTAACTGGCACCTAATATAATAGCAAACTGCTCTCTGTGTGCGTTAGAAGGCAGGCACTGTTATCAGCCTTTCTCAGACAGAAGTTATATAATGAAGTTAAATCACTTCCTGATGAGGAAAACAGTGGCGCGGAGAATTTAAGGATTTAAGTAGCCTTAAATTCTCAGTGGCACAGAGAATTTAAGTAGCCTTCCCAAGGTCACATGGTGACAAGGAGGTAAAGCTAAAATTTGCTCTTCGCCCCTCTGCCATGTTTATTCCAATATGTACTCAATGACAGTCACTCCCACGGGGGCCACCCATTAATGGAGATCCATGGCTCTGAAATCCATAAAGCGCTGAAAACTCAGTTTTTACCAAAGTTTAACAAAAACTCGGTCGGTGGTAAAACATGATCTGAATTGATGCGAGCCTGTTTATAGTCTTTATTTATCCCTCCTGGTATTATCATGCCTACGCTGTGCTGAACAATTAGTAGCAGCATTTTGCTGCCCTGCTGGGAGTGCTAAGTAACACGTAATATGTCACCACATCAACGTCCCAGAAACCCAAAAAAATATCTCGATTCTGGAATTCATCTGGCCCCAGGGGATTCGAATAAGGAATTGTGGACCTCTTTTATTATTATCTTATCCCCATCTTCTCATTATTTCAAAGGTTTCTCCTTAAACACAACCTCAGAGAGACAAATGCCACAAAACTGCCTTATAAATCTCTGTTCTAGTTAACATTCACTGAGTGCCTCACGGCAACACTCAGAGCTATGGTCATCTGATTTCTTGAGTCGAGCATTGAAGAGGGGCCTTAGTGCAAAGTCACATTAAGAAATGCATATGAGTTTCAAAATGGTCATTATTTAATCCCTCCTGTTGGGAATCATGCTGATGACCACTTAGGTAAATCTCAGCCCCCACGCCATGAAGCTAAATTCCCACGTACCTGTTGCATGCCGTAAATCGCAGCCCACGTGCCGTAAAGCTCAACGCCCACGTACCTGCTGGATGCCGTAAGTCCAGCCCTGCCGGATTCGATCCCGGGCCCACACGTTGTGAGCGTTCTCCGCCAACTTGTCCACCATCGCTTCCTGAGACGGCGTGAGTTTAATGAAGCTCAGGTCCATCGGGGCAGGCTTATACCCACTTGTCAGCTGGTAACTACAAAGCAAAACAAAAGAGATATGTAATTGGCCTTTCAAAAACAAGTCCAGGCTTAGAAATCCCTCTAAGGGTCTTTTTATGGCCCCACCCACTTCTAATGATTCCAGACACCACACTGGGGACCGCCGGCCGGTCGGTCAGCAAGCCTGGAGCCCTTCATGCACGCTAATAACTCATTAGGCACAAAGGCCACGCGATCTTTGTTTTCATTTTTATGTCAATAAAACTAAAATAAGACACCTTACCTATCTCAAAGTTGAGAAGGACTTAGTGTTTCTGAGTTCCTAATATTTGAGGCTTTTTTATAGTATTAACGAAAATACTGGTTACCAATGAAAACATGTGATAGATTTCTCTTCCCATTTATATTTTCTTCAATTTTCAAATGTTATATTAAATTCATATATTTATTTAATAAACCTGTGGGTCCTTTCAGATACTAGCTGTTCATTACTGCATAGGGAGATTTTAATGCATTTATGAATTCATTCCCCCTTTTTGACTTCCCTGGTTATATAATTTAGGAAACCTCTGGATAAGACAGAGTAGGAAATCCCAGGTGCATAATCATCTAAAATATTAGGAAGGCCTGGATTTCAGAGACTACTTCCATACTCTGAAATGGAAAGAAAGTACTAAAACGAGCATAAGTTTTCATGTTTCAGAAGAAATACAAAATTGAAAATATAAAAATTTAAACATGCACGTATTAGGGCAATAATACTGTCCTACTTCTCTGCACAGACACACACACAGCTGCCTCGTTCTCTTTTTTAACTACTGAGATTTGAACAAAGCCTATTTTATAGCTGCCTCCCTGCCATTCTTCTGTCATTGTTCTATTCCCTATAATCAACTATGCCTTGAGGTCAGGATCTGTTTCTAATCCATTTTTCTAAGTGTCTTTATACTTGAAACAGGGCATGGCAGATAAGCAGCCTTTTGATGATCTGTAGTGTTTGCAAGAATTAACTTTATATACTGAATATAAAGGTACATGCATCATTTTTATTTAATGTTTGTGTATCTTTGAGAGGGAGACACAGAGCATGAGTGGGGAGGGGCAGAGACAGAGGAGACACAGAATCCGAAGCAGGCTCCAGGATCTGAGCTGCCAGCACAGAGCCCCATGCGGGGCTCAAACCCATGAACTGCAAGATCATGACCTGAGCCAAAGTTGGATGCTTAACAGACCGAGGCACCCAGGCACCCCAGTACATGCGGCTCCATCTCAAAGATTCTCCTTTGTACAAAGAAAACCAGCTAACTATACCAAGTTAAAAAAAAAAAATTATTAGAACATGAGAAATGCTCTTTGAGATAAAACTATGTCATCGTTTTTCTTTTAAGTATCCTGGGCTGTGGCTCTCAGAGTTAGCAGGCAACCTTCTTTGGAGCAGAGACTTTGACTGCCGTATTCCTCACAATCTGTCAAACGGAGAATAGTACCAGATACATGGTAAGCATTCAATAAAAATATGTTGAATGAATTGATGTGTTACAGCAATAAATAATTTTAAGGTTGAATACAGTTGACTTTGCCTTAGTTACTTCTATTTCCTTAGGAGACCTCTAGTATTTTATAAGTCATTTACCTGTAGACAAAAGTATGAGAAATATTTTGTTTTGTTTTGTTTAAGTGGATTAGATTGGTCTGGCAATTGTTACAGTTAAGGTTAATTCCTGCCTTATGTCATTCAATTTATAGTCACAAGCTATAATTATAGACAAGAAATTTCATTCTGTTTTAAATCAGCACTCTGCAGGTTTAGGTAAATTAACAATATTTTTTTTTCCTGTCTTTTTTTTATATAAAGAAATCACATGGGATTTTTTAACCACTCATACAAATCATTGTATGTTATAGAATTCTGGTTATAAATAGATAAATCTGCAAACTAGAAGCACAGTCTACATACAAGTTCTTTTTTCAGAAAATATGTACATTTAAAGATTTTCTCTACGCTCAACGAGGGGCTTGCGCTCACAACCCTCAGATCCACATTCACATGCTCGTCTGGCTGAGCCAGCCAGGTGCCACTCATTCAAAAAATATTTTCTTCAAGAAAGAGCTCCTAATTTCCAACGTACCAACAGATGATCAAGCTAACAGAGTTTATTTTCCAAGTACCAACATATGATCAAGCTAGCACAGTTTAATTTCCAAGTTTAACATGACTAGCTGGAGGCAGTGTTAGAATCAGTGATCAAGAACTCAGTCTTCTCTATCGCCCCATCTTCCCACCTCTGCTTGACACCCTCCTCCTGGCTTCCCCACCATCGCCCAGCAGGAGGTAGCATAACAGCACACAAGTCTTTCTCCTCCCATTTTCTAATGGCCCTGAGACCTCCTAACTGTCAGACAGGAGACCTACCGGATACAGTTTGGAAACTAATCTGTGAAAAATCGATTAGAGCCTAAGCCATCTTAATGAGGGGTATGTGCATGTGAAGTGAAAAAATCCTTCCCCTGACAACCAATAATAATGGTAGGCTTTCCAGCAATATCTCATACGGAATGGGGAGGGATGTTTGAAGGGTGGAAGATGGGAAGGAGGTCCTTCCATGTCAAAAATTAGAGATAAATTCTACTAATGTATAAAGCTGGATAATATGTGACATAAGTGTTTCTCTTTATCTTGTAAAATTTCCTCTTCCTACATGGAATATCTACTAGACTGGCTTCAATCTGTGATCATAATGAAAACCCTTGGAGATGCATTTGCATCCGTTGATTTAACATGGCACAATAATTGGTTTATGCTCATTTTCATATGTAGACTATAATTTATTTTACTTTTCTTCATAACCCTGTGCAAGAAAGGATTTGAAGCTTCAAGAGATTCTTTTAGAGGCACCTGGATGGCTCAGTCGGTTAAGCATCCGACTTTGGCTCAGGTCATGATCTCGCGATACCTGACTCTCTATGTGGAGCCTGCTTCAGATTCTGTCTCTCTCTCCCTCTGCCCTTCCTGTGCATGCTTTCTCTCTTAAAAATAAATAAACATTAAAATAATAAAGTGATTCTTTTAAATGGCTAATAATCCCATCCAACTTAAATTACTGACTCCCATTCCCCCTGACCCTTATTTCCATACTGTTGTATTCAAATCACCTATAGTAAAAATACAGATATCTTTGAAATTCACAGACTTAACAAAAATGGTGACATCATGAATGCTTAACCAATATGAATTAGTAGTATCACAATGATTTTTAAAACAATTTTCGTTTGGAGTACATGTTGAGAAAGTAAGAATCGAATCATTATATAAAAATAGGGTTTTTTTAAAAGGAGCATAAATGAACTTTGGTAAATACTGTCCATTTCACCTTATTAATTTTAATATTTAATTTTATTTTATTAAATTAAATTATTATTAAATTTATAATTTAATTTAATATTAAATTTTAAAATTAACCTGTAATTTTAGTAGGTACATAAAGATCAACCAACTGCTTATATGAAATATTCTCTTCTCGTGGTTGAAAAAGAACAAAAAGCAAAGCTTTTCCTGTACTGCATGTAAACTGGAAACTAAGTGGTTTCAAGTAAAGTTCCAGATTAATTTCCAGAAATTTAAAAGAAATAAAGGAAAGAAAGATTCCCATTATAATTCTTGGGAAGTAGAATTTCGTAGCTCAAATAATAGGGAAAAGTTGTATCAATAGTAATTCTATTAATTCAAAATACATCATCATATGCATCAAATACAAAATATCTCATGTTAAAGATGTTGATGTGTTACATTCTCCCTTTTTGACCTTCCTGGGAAAATTCTGCCAGAATCAGTCAATAGATCTCTTTCTCCTGCAGTCTGGTTAGTAGGTATCGTTTTACTTCCTTTACTTTTATATGCAAAGTCCCTGTTCCATCAATCATCCTGAAATGCAGCCCATGAGGAATATATATGGAATTAAATAAATACATTCAATATACTGACCTTCCAAGGTATCAAAATTCTTTTGTAGTTATTATCTCAGTTAATTTATTTTGACGTGGCATAAAATCCAGTAATTAAAAAAAAAAAAAACAGATTAATAAACTACGTGTATAGGGCTTCAGTTTCTTTTCTAAAACACCTTTGCGCCTGGAGAAATAAAACAAAATGAAACAAAACTTGGCAAACTGCCAGTGTCATCTGCACCAAATTATCGAAGATGTAAACAAAAAATGACAGCACTTGACCCGCCGATGAGTTGTCACGTGAAGTAGCAATTTCACTTTGGGCTTCATTCCCACCTGACCCGCATTTTTCTGAATGAAGCAGGTATTCTAAATGAGCCTCTGAATAAAGTGCTCAGTATAATGTCACTAAAGGGGCAATTAAAGTGGTGGCATCAAAAACATGGCAGAATTCCAAAAACACTAAAGAGAAAAACCTTTTTTTTTTTTTTTTTTTTTTCTAGCCTCTCCCACCTCTCAAGCTTCCTTGTTTAGGATGAATCAGGTTAAATGAAGCTTGGAAGTCATTATGCTGTGAAAGATGCGCAGTCAACATGAAAAGATTATGTCCAAGTTCAGTGGATGTGAGGTGTAAATTTCAAAACCAAATCCGCCCTTCAAGTACCTTGGAACAAATGGGAAAATCTCAGATGACTGCACATCAGAGATATTCAGGACGAGTTTTTGCTGGAAGCACATCTACTAAAAATGCATACTGGGCTGACATTTTCACAGGAAGAACAGAAAGAGAATTCAAAACTCCTCCAGAGCACAAATACAGGAGAATTAATTTCAATGTACAAATTAGGAGGGAAATGGACAAGGGATATGTTTCTTCTATTACTTTACTTCTTTGTTTTTAAGTAAAGGTAATATCATGAAGTGCCCTGGAGAGCTGCTCCCACCACCCAACTCCCTTTTATCAATTTCTTTTTACTCCAAGGCCTTCCCCTATCCCAAAGCCCCTTTGAAACAAAACCACAAGGTATCCAGTGCCCCAAGAAGGGGTCATCTCAAGAGAGAGACCAAAGAAAGCCATTCTTGGTTTGGA